CTGCTGTCATTAAAAAAACAGTATTGAAGATGATAATGTTGATTGTGAGAATAAAAATAGACTGTGGGCATGTACCAACTACGCCCATCTTATATTTTAATTTAATGTTTGGCAAAACAACAAAAAAAATTTTTGGTACCAGGGATTGGACCTGGGGGTGCTTAACTCCAGCCCCTTTTATTTTTTTGATTTTATTTTTGATAGGTCTTGGTAATTTGCTTAGGGCTTTCTAAATTGCTGAAGCTGGCTTTGAACTTCTGATCCTACTGGCTCAGCCTCCAGAATAACTGGGATTATAGGCTTGCACCACTGTTCCTGGCAAAACAAATTATTTCATTAACTCTTTTTTTTAAACTTTTTTTTATGAGAGAGAGAATTTTAATATTTATTTATTAGTTTTTGGCGGACACAACATCTTTGTATGTGGTGCTGAGGATCGAACCCGGGCCGCACGCATGCCAGGCAAGCGCGCTACCGCTTGAGCCACCTCCCCAGCCCCTCATTAACTCTTTGGATGAAATCCAGAGGCACTTACTTACCACTGAGCCACATCCCCACCTGGTTTTGTTTTATTTTGAGACAAGTTCTTGCTAAGTTGCTTAGGGCCTCCTTAAATTGCTGGGTTTGATTTTGAATTTGCCATCCTCCTGCCTCAACCTCCCAAACCACTGGGATTACAAGTGTGCACCATCACACCTGGCTCATTGACTCTTTTTAGTTAGAATTTCATTGCCTCCCCGCCTACTTTTTTTTCAGTACTGGGGGGTTGAACCCAGGGGTGCTCTACTTCTGCCACCATGGAGTTCCAGCCCCAGACTCTTTGTTTTCTCCCCAAAGAGAGTTTTTGTTTGTTTTTAAGGAAAGTAGATACATATTCAAGGGAGAACAGTGGAGAGAGAGAGAGAGAGAGAGAGAGAGAGAGAGAGAGAGAGAGAGAGAGAGACACAACACACACACACACACACACACAAACACACACACACACACACCATGGTTTGGGGTAAAGTAAGGAATATACATTCAAGGGAGAATGTGGACAAGCTCTAGAGGGAGACAAGAGCCCAGCCCTTTTAAGTTTTTGAGACAGGATCATGTTAAATTGCTAAGAGTGGCTGGCCTCAACTTGCAATTCTCCTTCCTCAGCCTTCCAGTCTCTGGAATTACATAAGTGTGCCACCTCATTGGCCATTTCTTCCTTTTTTTTAATTAAAATTTTTTTTTTAGTTGTAGATGGACAGAATGCCTTTGTTTATTTTTTTATGTGGTGCTAAGGGTCGAACCCAGTGCCTCAGACATGCTAGGCAAGTGCTCTGCCACTGAGCTATAGCCCTAGCCTCAGCATTTCTCCTTTTTTTTTGAATCGTGTGGTTTTCCAGATTTAAGTAGTAGAAAACCTAAGGCTTCTGTAAGTCATTATAATTGTATACAATGAGTCATGCTTTCCTGTGTCCACATCCCTTTGCAATGTGATTCTGTCACTTTCCATCAAGAAATGCAGTCTAGGCTGAAGATGTAGCTTACTGGGTAGAGAGCTTGCCTAGTCTACACAAGGTACTAGATTTGATTTCCAGTACAGGGGGGGCGGGAAAAAAAAATAATAAATAAAATACAATGAAGTCTATTTCACTATGCTCCTTTTCTGATACTGGGATTGAACCCAGGGGAGGTTTACCACTGAGTTAAATCCTTGGTTCTTTTTTATTTTAAATTTTGAGACATGGTCTTGCTAAATTGTTGAGGCTGGACTGGAATTTGGGATCTTCCTGCCTCTGCTTCCTGAGTCACTGGGATTATAGGCATGCATCATGTGCCCAGCTATTTTCCCACCTTTCTGATTCTGGGCCTTTCTTTTGACATGCTTTGACCAACAGAATTTGAGAGAGTGTTTGATACATTTTGGAGTCTAGACCTTAGGCTTTTGCTTCCAGTCTTATCCTATTGGAATGCTAAGACCACCATGCTGTGAAAAAGCCCAGTTTACTATTTTAAAATTAGAAACCAGGGCTGGGGATATGGCTCAAGCGGTGGCACGCTCGCCTGGCATGCGTGCGGCTCGGGTTCGATCCTCAGCACCACATACAAACAAAGATGTTGTGTCCGCCGAAAACTAAAAAATAAATATTAAAATTCTCTCTCTTTAAGAAACCATGTGAACCAAAGTTTCCCAGCCAACAACTAGTACCAATTGCTAGACATATGAGAACATTTTGCACTCTCCCACCCTAATTGTGTATTAGCTTCTTCTGGAAAATAAACCAGTAGGATATGAGATTTCTCTTTAAGGAATTGGCTTACAAGATTATAGAGGCTGGCAAGTCCAAAATCTGCAGGGAAGGCTGGCAGGCTGGAGACCAAGAAAAAGCTGATGCTGCAGTTGAGGTCCAAAACAAATGGCAACATTCCTTATTGCTCAGGGGTCAGTATTTTGTTCTATTCAGGTCTTCAATTGATTGGATGAAGCTCACTTGCTTCATAGAGGGCAATCTGCTTTATTCAGAGGTCTCTGATTTAAATGTTAATTTCATCCCCAAATGCCCTATCACAAACACCCAGAATGCCACCCCTGCCTTCCTGGGGATTGAATTCAGGGGAATTGGACCACTGAGCCACATCTCCAGCCTTATTATTTTTTAATTTAGAGACACTGGTCTCACTAAGTTGCTTAGTTCCTTGTTTTTGCTGAGGCTGGCTTTGAACTCACAATCCTCCTGTTTCAGCCTCTATAGCTGCTGGGAAACTTTGGTTCACATGTGCCACCGCACCCAGCACAAACATCCAGAATGTTTGACCACATATCTGGCCACTGTGGGCCAGCCAAATTGGTACATAAATTTAAACATTAAACCAGTCAAGCTGTCAGATGACTGTGACTGCATGAGTAAACCCAGGTGAGGCCATGAATCTATCAGATTGCAAACCCACAGAATTGATAAATAATTTTTATTTTCAGTTTTGAGGTAGTATGCTATTCAACAAAGGGTAACTGAAATAGAACTATCTCCTCAAAGTGTCTGTGTGAGGTTTAGGCTGGTAGGTATGAATAATTGGGCATTACCTTTTGTGGATGCTATAAATAAAATGAAGGGATATTATCAATGTCATTCTTGGAAGTCTCAAAACAAAATTTAGTGCATGCAAATATAAGATGAGGCAATAAAACACAAGGGAAATTGTTTTGTGGATCCAATTCATTTATTTATTGGGTGAATCCATTTATTTAACAGTCTCATGCATACTCCCCATATCCCAAGATTATTCAAGGAGCCTGGAAAACAATGGCCAATATATGGACAATGCCCCTGTCTTTGTGCAGCTTACAGTCTGAGAAAGGGAGGAAATTATTTCAAAATGTTTTGACAAGGAGCTGAGCATGGTGGCAAAAGCCTGTAATCTCAGTGGCTCAGGAGGTGAGGCAGGAAGATCCCAAGTTCAAAGCCAGCCTCAGCAATTTATTTATTTTTTATTTTTATTTTTTTAAGAGAATTTTTTAATATTTATTTTTTTTTTTTAGTTCTCGGCGGACACAACATCTTTGTTGGTATGTGGTGCTGAGGATAGAACCCGGGCCGCACGCATGCCAGGCGAGCGCGCTACCGCTTGAGCCACATCCCCAGCCCCTCAGCAATTTATTGAGGTCCTGAACTTAGCAAGACCCCATCTCAAAAAAATAAAAAGGGCTGGGAATGTGGCTCAGTGGTTGAGGGTTTCTGAGTTCAATCCCTGATACCAAAAACAACTATAATAAACAAAATATTTGAGAAGGAAGTACTAGTTGCTGATGACTAACTTTGATGATTATGGAAGTCTTTCCAGAGCAAGTGATATTTAATTGAATTAGAAGGAAGATAAGTTGGAAAGACATACATGAATTTGTAGGGACAAGGTTGGGTCAGGAGACTACAAAAATGTTCCACAGGAAATAATCTGTGAAGACTCAGAGTTAAGGCAAAGAATGGTGCATCAAAGCCACCAAAAAGTTTGTAGATTATACAGTAAAGCAGAAGAGATGAAGCTTGAAAGTGGCAGTAAATAAAAAAAAATTTGAAGTCATTGAATTTTTTTTTTTTTTTTTTTTTTTTTTTTTTTGTAAAAGGGATTGGGCTTAAGCAATGAGACACATCCCCAACCATTTTTATTTTGAGACAGGGTCTCTCTAAGCTGCTGAATTGGCTTTGAATTTGCGAAGTTTCTGCCTCAGCTTTCAGAGTTCTTGGGCTAACAGGTGTGTGCTAACATGCCCAGCCATATTGATACTTAATACTAAAAAGCACATTTTCACGATTTCTCCATTAATCCTGTCTATGTTACTTTCCACAATTTGGAGGAAGTAAGAAATAGACACTGGCATAGAGATTTTTTCTTTTTCTTTTTGCGGTTCTGGGGATTGAACTCAGAGTGTCCCTTATGCATTCTACCACTGAGCCCTGGCTTAGAGATTTTCCGACAAGTTCAAAACGATTACCGTAGTTTTTTTTTTTTTTTTTTTTTAATAAACTGAAAAAGGTTTAATACATTATGTGATACCAAAGGGAGCTAGTTACTGTTAAAATGAGATAATTTAGGGTTGAATGACAAATGCTAGAAAAGAAAGATTAGGAGAGTGAAAATAATTCTTAGGTGGTGGCTAAAGCCGCTCTGCAGGATTTGGGGGATCGGTTCCATTTAGAACTTATCGTGCAAACGAGGCGGGTATAAAACGACCAAATACAATTGTTCGTAAGATACCAGCAAAGGATGAAAAAAGAGAGTGTGAGAAATACGCCGGAAATGTTAGTTACTTGGTCAAATGTAGACAAGCAGGATAAAACAAATGACGGCGAACCTGCAGCGAGGTTGGGTGGCTAACGTTAGGCCGGGTTTGTTTGCGCGTCCACTAATACACAAAGGGGAACTGTGCCCTCCTCACCGGAAGAGAACCTCTGCCCTCTGGGGCATTACACATTCCTCCGCGCCGGAAGAGCGCGTTCTGCCTCGCCCCGAATACTTCTCCTCACTCTTACCTCGCCTAGAGGAGACCGTAGGACCCTTGAGGGTGACCCTCCCGGAGTCATCAGCTGCCCCAAACTGCGACGGGCAAGCAGAGAAATAGCGACACCAGACTCTCCCGAAAGGGAGGAAGAAGAAAAGCGTCGTACATCGAGGCGTCGCGGCGGAGGAATTCTGTTTCCTGCGGTGGCGGAGGAATTTGACAGTACGTTAACTTCCGGAAAAGTCCTGTCCCTGAGAGGAAAAGCCCTGAAGGAAACAATAACAAACGACTGGAGGAAGCGATTCTGGGGTTTCTGCGTCCCGCACTTCATGTTCAAAAAGATGCGCTGCGGCCCCTGTCAGGGGACGTGAAAAAGCGTGGTGGGCTTTAGCCACCCTTTCTCCACTTGTTCTCCTAAGGGGGTCCCCTGGCTATTGCCATGGCGGGCATGGGGCCGGGGGGCTACGCGGCAGAGTTCGTGCCACCCCCGGAGTGTCCGGTCTTTGAGCCCAGCTGGGAGGAGTTCACAGACCCCCTCAGCTTCATCGGCCGCATCCGGCCTTTGGCCGAGAAAACTGGCATCTGCAAAATCCGACCGCCCAAGGTACCGGAGTCTGTGAGGAGAGACGGGGAGAAGGGAGTATAGGGGATTTGATACGCTTGGTGTGGCTTTACTTCTCAGGTTCTTCTGTCTTTTCATGTATACTCTTCCTCATTTCTGAACAACTGAAGGCTACGTTTCTGGATATTTTTACCTTAGTTTCTTCTGCAGTTTAATTTCGGTGGGTGTGAACGCCAGAAAGTGGTCTTCCTAGGGTCTTTTCCATTTAGAACTTGGGCACTGATACTTTTCTCTGGAATTGGGGGAAAGGGTAACAAAAGGCTTCAGGCCTTTTGATGTCTGGAAAGGTGTTTAAAGTGTTGTGACCTGACGTGCCTTCCCCTTGTGTACAATCCTTATTATGCTTCTACAGTAGAAACTACCTGTCCGTCGGCTATTTCTGCTGCATCCAAGCCCTGCTAATGTTTAGTTTGTTAAATGTTTGCAGGTCATCTCTCAGGGTTAAGTGGGGTTTTTTTCTTTTTTTCTTTTGTTACTTTTGTGGGGGGAGTGCCGAGGTTTGAACCTAGGGTCGCCCTAGCTCTGAGCTACATCCCCAGCCCTTTGAGTTTGATATTTTAATTTTCAAAGGGGTCTCGCTAAGTTGCTTAGGTATTCGCTAAATTGCTGAGGCTGGCTTCAAATTTGTGATCCTCCTGCCTCAGCCTCCCGAGTCGCTGGGATTACAGGCTTGTTCTATCGCCCGGATAGGTCTTGGGTTTCTTAAAAGGTAATTTGAGCTCTAGTTGTTTCCCACAATGGTATCAATAGGCAAGAATTTCAGGCCGATTACTGCTGCGATGGAAAAATCTTACATGGGGAAGAGAAAGAGCATCAATGATTTTTGAAATTCAGAGGTTTAGGAAGACTTGGTCAATAGTGGAAGTGGAAGAAAACGTTGAAAACCCTTGATATAAGGAACCAAGGAGCAAAGATTTTAGAATTGCAATGATTGCAAATAATTAGGTTTGCCTAAAGTTGGATAATTATAATTCTCAATCTTTAAGGATCGCAGATATTACTCCTATGGGTGCAATTAATGCCCCAAGAGTTTCAGTGATATGCTCAAGGTCAAAAGGGTTTTTCTTTACCCATTACACCAGTGCTTTCCAAATACTGTTGCTGGACAACCTGTACCTTGGTTGACTGGATGTTTATTAAACTGCAGATTGCTAGGCCTTATTAAGACTAGAATCTGGGCTGGGGTTGTACCTCATTGTAGAGCACTTGCCTAGCATGTGTGAGGCTCTGGGTTCTATTCTCAACACTGCATGTGAATAAATGAATAAAATAAAGGTCCGTCAACAACTAAAAAACAAAATGTTAAAAAAAAAAGGACTAGAATCGGGCTGAGTATGTAATTCAGTGGTATAGCATTTGCCTAGTGTGTGTAAGCCTTGGGTTCCATATCTCTGAAACTGCCAAAAGAGTGGGGATTAAAAAAAAAGGGGGAAAGAAAAAAGGGTGAAATCTATTTCTGGATCTGGAATGTTTGTAATCTGCTTTTCTAGCATGCTTAGATGATTCTTAATGCAGATTAAGTTTGTGAATTTTTGCTGTGGATAGAACCTTTGCTTCTTAAAGACATTTTGCTTTATGTTTTGTCTAGAGGTAGTAAAGATAAAACTAAGCCCTGTTACCAGTGTTGCATTTAAGAAATCATCCACCCTCACCAGGATTACCATGATATTTCATACCACAGTGAACTAAAAGCTTAGATGAAAGGGAGAAAAGGAGTAGTTAATTTAGCATCTATAGAATGTTTTATTTAATCTTTGAAGACCTAGTAGGTAAATAAATTTCTCATTTTACAGATGAGGCAAGTCTGAATAGGTAAAACAATCAAATGTGTTATCTTGGGCAAATAGCAAAGTAGATTTTGAACTTAAAGTTTTCTGATTATAAAGCAGGTCTTACTCCCACTATGCTGAATACTGTAAGATTATCAGTTGCAAGCAAAGGATTAACAAATAATTGTTGTGATGAKATGCATTGCCATCCTCCAAAAGCTTCTACTTTTTCTTTATCAAAATTATCTAATGCTGACCAAGATTTAAGCATTGAAGTTTTTTCCTAAACCATATTTTCATCTATTTATGTTGTATTTATTCATTAGAAATTCTATTGAAGGATTGTTTTGGTAAAACAAAGTTATATTTTTATTAAAAGGCTGAAAGAGTATGCATATTAAATAAGGTTTATTAAAAACAAATCTTTGACTACTTCTCGTATCTTTAAATGCTATTGTTTAGGCCAAGTCAAACTATGTTCTTTAGAATGCCACTTGAAATATCTGACCTCACATTAGTTATATCTGTCTGGAAGTTGTCTTTGTTCTGTGGATTTACTTATTTAAAAAAAAAAGTATATATATATATGTGTATATGTATACATATATGTATGTTTGGGTCCCCAGAAGCTGGGCTTTGATCAAAACATTTGTATAACATAGACTGTAAAGTGCTTATATTTACACATAAATAAAAAATATTTAAAAAAATTATTGACAAAATTGACTTTTGGGGGAGTGGGAGGGAAACAGGGTTTCTCTATGTTGCCCAGGCTGATCTAGAATTCCTGGCTCAAGTGATCTTTCTATCTCAGCCTCCTGAATAACAAACTATTGGCAGGTGCCACTGTAACTGATTAATAAATACTTAAAAATTTCTTTTCTCTTTCTTGCATTGCTGGGAGTCAAACTCAAGTCTTGCATATGCTAGCCAAGTGTTCTATCACTGAGCTACATCACCAGCCCTATAAATTTCCTTCTAATCTTTAGTTTTACCCTTTTTGATTTTTTTTTAAATTTGGTAAACCTGTATGTTTATTGGACACTGTTCTGTGGTACATGAACTCATTGCTTTCTGCATGAGTAATTTGAGAAAGCATAACTGTGGGATGTGAATAGCGAGACTGGTGAGATTTGAGAACACTGTAAGTGATGTTAAAATTAAAATTATTTTATGTGAAAAATATTATTCTGTTTCTACAATAAAGAAGATGTACAAGTTCTATTGTCACTGATTTTTGGCAACTCACCCCTTAAAGTAATGAATAATGCACTCCTTGCTTACATACCACTATTATTTTTTGGTGCTGAGTATTGAACCCAGGGCCTTGCACATGCTAGGCAAGTGCTCTACCACTGAGCTACATTCCCAACCCATATTACTGTGTTAAAAMAAACCATATATTTTTGTATATATAGACACAAACATATATACATATACGCATGTCCTTTCTGTTTAGGATTGGCAACCTCCATTTGCGTGTGAAGTAAAAAGCTTTCGATTCACTCCAAGAGTACAGCGCCTGAATGAACTTGAGGTAAGTGTTATATTAACAGTTCTCCTTCCTGATTTTTATGTTAGGCCTCTAGGTAGAGAACTTTGATTAGCTTATGTAYTGAGGCCCAGAGTTTGTGTTAATTGGGATTGAATAGAACAGTTATTTAGTGTTTGGAAGAAGTGTCTGATTTTTAAAAGCTTATGGTTAGAGTTTTTTTATTTAGCTGAGATTATGGGAAATTGTTTCTTACTATATTTTTCATCATGGGAATGTCCAGCTTTGGAGATCTGAAATTCTTAAATTCCACTTTCTCCAATGTTTATTATTCTAATTTTTTTCAGGGACTAATCTCAGAAGATTTCTGCCTCTTGTGGTCCTTGGAGGATAGTTCTTTTTTTTTTTTTTTCAGTTGTAGATGGACGCAAAATATTTATTTATTTATTATTTATTTATTTATTGTGGTGCTGGGYATCGAACCCAGTGCCCCATGCATGCTAGGCAAGCACTCTACCACTGAGCCACAACCAGCCTGGAAGATAGGTTTTTTTTTAATTCTATAAATTTTCATTTGAAAACCTAGTTTTCTTTTTGAGAATTTTTAATATTTATTTTTTAGTTCTCGGCGGACACAACATCTTTGTTGGTATGTGGTGCTGAGGATCGAACCCGGGCCGCACGC